TGTCCCAGTCTCAACAGACCCACCTTCTGAGGCGGAAATCCGTAAGGAGATTCGAGGCTTAGGAAGTCACAAAGCACCCGGCTTCGATGGTCTTCCCACAGCTGTATATAAAGATGGTGAGAGAGAATTGGTGACTGTTCTCTAGAGTCTGGCAAACTGAGCAGGTCCTCTCTTCGTGAGGGAAATCCATCGTCGTCCCTGTCTTTAAAAATGGTCCGCGTAGTGACTGCCGTTGAGCTCCTCCAAGGGAACAGAGTCCCTGACTTAGAATATACCGATGACATCGCCTTGCTAGGTGACAAAACACAGGCAATCCAAAACGCTTTAAACCGCTNAGGCATGACGTGCTTCGCGCCATCCAAATGCAAAGTGCTTGTACAAGACTGGCAGGAGTCTGTGCCTGCACTCACCCGCTGTGGTGATCAGCTGGAAGTGGTTGAGATGTTTAAGTACCCCGAGAGCTTGATCGCAGCTGGAGGTGGTGTTGCAGGGGAGATCACATCACGAATAGCGAAAGCTAGAGCAGCTTTTTCTAACTTGTGTCGTATCCGACTGTCCCATAAGGGATGGGTGTACATCGCCACGGTTCGTAGTGTTCCACTTTACGATTGCGAGACCTATCTTTTACACTGCCTTGTATCCCAACTGCCCATTTTCTGTTATTCTTGAGTTGCGCTGGCACCGAGCTTGCTAGCAAGCCAGTGATATATATATATATATATATATATATATATATATACACGCTCATTTAAATGACCTCACGAGTTCTGATTACGAAGGCAGTTCAAACACAATGGGAGGGTGGAGACGGGTAAAATGTGAATGTAACTTCGTGAACAACAATCACTGAAGGTTGTAGCTGCAATTCGTGTTTTGTAAACGGTTTAATGACTAGTGGCAACATCAAATATTACGTGATGGTCAGTTACCAACATGCCACTAGTTCCAACCAACTCCGTACTTCCATGCTGAGTTATTCATCCAGTTGCGCGTTATCATTTAGCCTGATATACTTGGTATATTTGGTTAGTTACTGAAGCACATAAACTAACAGGCTCGTTGCTTTGCTTTCTACTGCTATCAACAGGATACTTGCGCTAAACTTTCGACTGAAAGTCTAAGAAAGAGGAAAGATGACAGAGCACAAGCAACAGTCTGTTTTAAACCCGGCCTGTTTATAAGCGGTGTGAAAAAAGTTGAGTACTTCCCACCAGTTTACGAAGTGAACAAGATTACGAGCTCTGCCCATTATGAGTGCATCAGAACCTGTGAATATGCACCATCCATGAATTTCAGAAAGCACGAGACACCTTTACAGTTATTCCAACACTGCGTGGATATCTGTAGAATGTTCACGTAGTATGATTTAGCAAAATCAAATATTTTTAACTTCAACTCGGTTGAAAGGACGCAGCTATTCTCTAACTGCACCACACCGTCTTGTAACAGCGCAAGAAGAACAGATAAATGCTAATATCACAGCGGATTTTGCCGTGTACAGAGCAAACGGGCGTGAACTGAAAATCTAGGAATCACTGTACAGCTGTTTCGACAATACTGGATTTCATCACCAGTGCGAATGTCTCCACCCAACTGAGGAACGAACCCCGGACCACAAACATTCTATCGCGAGTTGCGATGCCCGCAACAACCTCGTGGACATGGGTTGGGTCATATTATTATTATGGCGTCAAGATAAAGATGAAAAACGATCCCATAAACCGCTTAGTGATTGATCGGGTAATATGCTTGCGTTCTACGTTCTATATTTCTGTTCTGCTTACGGTATTTTGCTATTTAATGACGATAACGGGTCCCTTTGAAGATTGATATAATAAGAAAATTAAACAATGACACTACCCATGATTCTTTCTGGCAAAATTACGTATGTAACTGTCACATTTTGAATGCGATAAGATGATGTCTGAGATATGGAAGGCAACACTGAGGGTGGCTAAATTAGTGGTAATGGCTCACAGTAAAAATAACTCACCTGGAAGCCCCACTAATAGCAGAACGAATATGTCCAGTGGAAGACGAAGCGTGTCGCGATTCAACATCGGTAGAATCACGTTTTAAACAGAATATGTGCGCCGTGCCCCGTTCACTGGTGACACATAACAAATCACTAGATTTGTTGAATGCTAATGAGGTGATCGTGGCCGGATTGATTCCCCGACGGAATTTGTACATCAGCTCACATTCTTTAGTCGCAAACACCCGAATAAGAGTGCCTTTTTGTGAGGCTGTAGCCACCAGAGTACCCGAGTTGTTCAGTACGATTGCAGCCAACGCGTTTTCGTGTGCAACAATCTGGCGCGGTGGAAGATTATCGGCAGAGGTAAGAGAAGGTGCACCGCAAGGGGACGGATTGTCACGACTGGCGATAGATGAGGCCGGATTGCCAATATGTACAAGTAGTAGCATACCGGGTCGACGTCCCGGAAAAACGATAAGTGGGTTATCAGGTGCTTGACACACGTGACACAGTCCTAGCGGATTTGGACAAGTAACCGATTCATAGATGAGTTGTGGGGACGGGTCAAACGTGTACACCTTGACAGCTTCGGAGAGAATCACGATTATGCTGGATACGGAGCAAGTAAATAGGGAAAGAAAAAAGGATATTAAAAACGATTCAGATAATTGCTCAATAAACATTACGTGAGTAAACGGACGAGTATAGAAGAACGATCAACCTCGTCATTGCTGCCCTTTTTTGTTTTACAAGACAAGCATGCTAAGCAGTAAATGCGTTAACTCCATTGAGACTGCTGTACAGTAGATACCGTGAACGTTCGTCCAAAACAGCCTTTTGATTCCGCGCTTGAATTTCGGTTATAGGCAGGAAAGAATGAAATAAAANAAAGAACAGAGTTCTACAATTCCGCTCTTCCTGAGAAAGAGAACTTCAAACATTCGACAGGCTTTTAGAGTCACCCTCTAGGTTGAACTTAGCGCTTGAGACTGTGTCCCACGAGAGCAGATGAAGTTGAACGGGGACTAACTCGGAAGGACAGAATCCTTGAGAACAGCGGTAGATGAGGGATAAAGACGACCTCATGCAGCCATGGGCAAGTAATTGAAGAGTGAATGTTAGAGGAGATTCTTCGATAAAGCGAATAGCTTCAAGATGAACGCGATTAAAGTGCTGATCAGAAAGAAGAGGATACTCCGATTCAATGAAAGATAGCAGGACTATTAGGGACTGATAACAAGTGAGAAGTTAAGAGGAGATGAGAAACGGTTTCCTGCAGAAAAGGTAGGGAATCTTTCTAGACGCAAGAGATCCTTTGTTCAACAATATGAGGAAACCAATATACAGCANAGAAAAAATTGAAGGCACAGGAGCACCGGAGATGTGAAGCCGAGCGAATAAGAGTTCAAATGCAGACTGAAACAGAAACATTTAAAGATTTTAGAGTGTTAAGGAGAGATACATTTCAGTCACTATCATGGAAATAAGTAACAAGGTGGAATTCCCCAGAGGACCGTATCCAAAAATACCCCAAGAGATGCCGAACGAAAATTAATGGCTATGAACAAAATTAAGGCAAAATACCTGTAGGTATCGCGCGTGCTTCGAACACAAAGATGCAACAGATGAAAACTACAATTTTCATCATATGACCGAATCACTTAGAACACTGCTCTTTACCGTCCACTTTGAGCGACGCGATGCGACAGCTAGCTGCTATTGTAACAAAACAGAGCTACCTACACAGGTGCTACGTCCATGTGAATGGTGTTTACCAAGCTGAAAAGTTCCAACGATCAGCCGAATCACGACGGGTGAGTAGCCCACGTATCACGCGATCGCTTAAAAAAACCTGATTTGAAGATAATTTAGCTATATAGTTTCGAAAAGGCTCAACCAAGCAGCCGGCAAATTAAGAACACAATCCCACTGGGCTATCGATTCGCTTACTAGTGATTCGTCGAGTATTTGTTCAACGCGCTTGTTGCAAACCTTGACGACCATCGACCATCGTTCCTTCTCTCTCTATCGTCCGGTCAACAAGATAAAGTTGCGATCACAACGAGATTGTTGACCGAAAAATGGCATTAGATTAAGTTGTCCAACTCGGTCAATCTGTTACCAGGGTACCCGATTTTATTCGAATATCTACATGTACCTGGTTTTCGGAACCTAACTAATTAAGTCCACTAACATTAGTGTGTCAATACTGCCGACAACTCAACCTCATCCTGACGCTTCACATACCACCGGAAGCCTGATTCAGGAATTAACGCCTATCGGTTCAACCACCAGCCGGAGAACTCAATGAACACTGGAAGCAAATCAAGGAACCTATGCAAATATCGATTAAAACAACGTCGGACTCTGGCCCAGGTTCAAAACACAAACCATCGATCTCGTCGACAACGACTGCCCTGCTGGGCGCCCGCAGAACCCTTCCTCTTGATGCCACATATGACACAGCGTGCACATCCCTAAAACGCCAGCTCATCAACAGTCTGAGGAATAACTGCGACAAGTGGTGGGAAGGAAAGTATAACGAGATGGAGACAGCTGTGGCTACTGGTAATAGCCACAATGTTTTCCATGTGATTAGGAATACAGACCCCAGGAAAATAGGCGTGAGGTAATTAAGGAATCCGATGGTACCATCAGCAACGCCGTCTTGATCGAGGGGAAGAACATTTCGAGGCTCAGTTCTACTTGCCTCCATGGACTTCCGACCTACCACCGACACCTCGACTGGGCAAATACTGCTAGTTGATTTCAGTCCTCCAGCTGAAATACAGGTTTCCCGGGAAATAACTATATCATAAGACAGAAGGCCTCCGGCTCTGATGGGCTGCTCCCATCAGCGTATAGGGATGGAGGATCAGCGTTAGTCTAGGAGTTGACCAAAACTCTTGGGCTCAATATGGGAAACGGAACAGGTTCCAACCGAAAATGTGAAATGGTCACTTTGCCGATTTATAAGGAAGGTGACAGATCGTCTTGTGAAAACCATAGAGGAATAAGTTACATTAACATTGCCTCTAAAATCCCCGCCGGCATCATACTCAGTCGATTACCTGCCGCACTTGTGAGAACCAGCCTGGTTTTAGACCCGGTCGAGGTTGTATCGACCACATCTTCACTCTACGCCAAATTCTGGAGCACCGGCATTCTTTCCGTAGACCCACCATCTCTGTCTTCCTCGATCCGAATGCGGCCTTCGACTCAGTCGAACGCTCTATACTCTGGCGCTGCCTTCCCTTGAAGGGTGCGCCCGAGAAGTTGAGTTCAATATTACAATCCCTTTATGCTAATAGTCGAAATCGAGTACGAGCTTACGGAACTGATTCGCCCGAGTTCACCACGAAAATTGGTGTTCGACAGGGTTGTCCCTCCTTTTCTATTCAACTTCGTTATGAATTCGGTTATAGAAGCAGCCCTATCTTCGTGCGAGGATAGTGACATCGATTTACTCCCAGGTGGCAGGCTGTCTGATCGACAGTACCCAGAGTACATTGTGCTGCTAAGTGAGGATCCAGGTAGATTGTAAGCTTTCCTGGATTGTTTAAGTGCTAGTGTAGTCATGATCGGTATGCGTTTTGCACCTTCAAAGTGTAAAATGTTACTACAAGACTGGGTTAGTCCAGCACCAGCCTCACACTAACTGGAGAACTAATAGAGCAAGTGGATACGTTTTTTTATTTAGGCAGCTACATCTCATCCAATGGACGCATCACGGAGGAAGTGTCAGCCCGTATACAAAAGTCTCGGTTGATATTGACCAATCTGAGAAACCTGTGCCGCCGTCACGACATCCGGCTTTCGGTGAAGGGTACAATGTATGCCGCGGCAGTTCGGCCAGTTCTGCTATAGGACTCAGAAACTTGACCATGAAGAAAACAGGATAAAGATAGACTGTCGGTCTTTGAACACCGCTATCTACGAGGCATTGGACGAATCTGGTGGGGCAGCCGGACGAGCAATGCTGAGGTCAGGCGAAACGTTTTAGGCAACCGCGGTCGCCCACTGGAGCAAGTGGTCGACGTCCATAGATTACGTTGGTTTGGGGCATGTGTTACGCAGGTCGTCAAAAATAGGTTACCACGGCGAGCGATGCTCGCCGAAGCAGACACCGAGTGGAAAAAAGCCAAGGGTAGTCAAGCTAAGACCTGGCATGAGGGTATGAAAACCCTAACCAGGAGATCGGGTAACATAGGTCCCGTTAGCTCCCTGGCTGGGAACCTCGGGATTGTCGTACCCGATGGTTAGAGACACTGAGTGATACGGTTGAGTGTCGTAAACAGTGGCGTTCGTGCATCTCAATTCATTCTTCGCAACATTAGTCGAATAAAATTCTTCATTTTCTATTCGGTCCTACTTACAACCTATTCTTCATCCAAATGGGCAGCCAAAAGGCAACAACCAAAACAGGCGCACGAGAGTGTATGGTTAATGGTTGTACAAACTAATACCCTAATGAGAAGCATGACGGACGAATAGAAAGCATAGTTTACCGAAAGCCGACTACGACAGATAGCATCCCCTTGTGCCATCTGAAAAGTTGTGTGCGAACTCCACTCCGAAAGGAGCGAACACATTGCAGCACACTGGGGTTAAGGATAAGAGAAAGAAGTCGACTCTTTTACCTGTTCATATCTAACATATATCCCAGGAGCGTTATCAACGCGTGCATCAGCAGTAAAAAACAAACAGCATACGCAAAAGAGGAAATTTAGATAACTTTATCTTAGATACGTGGAACTTCAGAAGCCACCGAACGAATACCCCTACCGTCCGGAATCAAAGTAGTCCATAAACCACAGGCAACCGAGAGATTGTTTCTCTTCAACGGCAAGGATCGATTCGAACAGCACGAACGATCAGGTGTAATCTACACAATCCTGGGCTGCAATGAAGTCCACAGGTGAGATAGGGAAACGACGACGCACTCGCCTACACGAACTCAAGGTTACTTTCCGACGCGCTGACCCGAGGTCACAAATCTGGAACCACTGCATGGACACATCACGAGATCGCGGCGGATAACGCAGAAGTGCTGGCGCGAGCTAAGATGAATGGTGAACGATTCCTTCTCGATGCTGTATGCCCCTGGTTTGTAAAGAACACAAATCACGGAACCGCAACAGGCTGACTGCATTTGTGTCAACACGATCTACAGGGTCAACGGGTGAAATAATAACAATAATCATTAGGCCTGTCAATATTGGTAAGATCGATATCGAGGCCGACCAGTTACTGGATATCCCGTGCGAGTTGGCTGCGGCATGATTTGAGCTCTCATCACA